ATATTAAACGATTTTATTTTACGTTGTTAATCAACAAACTGAGTTAAACTATCATTATTTAGATACGTGTTAATAATCAGCTCTTTTCTGTAAGCAGTTTGACATAACTTAGGCGATTTGACAGAGTTAAAAATCTTAATCTATCTGTGGTCTAGCACAAAATAAAACAAAATCTGACTTGTACAATTCATAATCTGACGTGACACGGTTAAAGATCTGCTCCAAGGTGTGTTAGCAATCTGATATAAAACAGATAACTTAAAAGACAGTAGTCTGGTATGTGAAATTACGCCATCATTCATAGCTGGAAGTATAAGTTAGAATTTAGAATTTTATACTTGTACTTTGGATAGTTTTTGTTTGTTTGAAGTTAAGCACAAAGCTACACAATGGGCTATCTGTGCTATGCCCACCACGGGTATCGAAACCCGGATTCTAGCGTTGTAAGTCCGCAGACATACCGCTCTGCCACTGGGGGGCTTGTACTTTGAAAGACACGAAGTCTGAAAATAAGATACATATGTATATAAAGATAAGTTTTCTTTCTATATTTAACATAAATATCGATCATATGAAATTCAGCTAACCTTCAGTGTTTCTACCAGTTACCATACTTATTATAACCCTATTAGAAAGAACACACATATATATATATATTTCCTTTATAAAAATCAGCTTCTGAATTTAATTTTGTGGGTCCTTAGAACTGTAAAGATGCTTTTTTGTTCATTATTTCTGGAGATAATTTCCATTCTGGTCTAACTGAGATACACACAGGTAACGTTATGGTTTCGAAACGGTGGTTTTTGAGCTCACGTGTAGTATACCATAGCGACACCTGCCGAGTTAGGGGAGGATCAAAGTGATAGGGAAAATACGCTCCGTCAGTTGATAGCCACATTCTTTACTGAACTAACGTGTAATGTTGAGGTAGTGGATCCGAATGGCACAATGACCAAAACTTGTCATCGTTATCTGACTGGGGCGACTGGTATAGTGCTGTGTGAGTTGGTTTTTAAAGTGTACATGTATTACAAATAAGAAGGACTTCCGTATATGCTTATACCCATTAAACAAGGATAGTATTAGTTTGTATTAAGAGTAATTTATCTATTTATTTGTTTTTGCAGTTGATTTAAATAATTTTACCATTTTAAATATTTGTTTTATATATTATATGTAACCTATACTATAGCGACAGTATTTGCTGAAAACGATGGTGCAACTTTAATCTCTAACTTTATTCATTAGCATTAAGAATAGTATTAATCATTGTAAAGTATTGTGGTTTCTTCGGATGATGTTATATAAATGATAGTATTCCTCGTAATACCTAACAAACTGAACGTACCAGTTAGTAACTGTTCGTTCATTTATGGACGTATAAATCTATAATACTTAACGTGTGAAAACTTTGACGTTGAAGAATAGAGATGGCTCGAGATTTTATGTAAAGCTTGGAATAAAGTTTATTCTCCTTGATTTTTTAACATCGTGGATATATTTCTTATTTGTTCTGTTAAAGTCAGAAGTGTTATTCTATGATCGCTTTTTTTTTAATGGATGAGTATCTTCGTCGAAACTTTAGCACAATATTATATGGTATTTTGGCTTGTACAAAATAAAGTGATCTCTTGTTCCACCTATTCCATGTAGTTTTTAAACTATATATGTTATTGTTAGATCGTGGTCTATCGAGATAGGACATTTGGTAGTTGTTCAGTACAGTAAGATTGTGTAGAATACAGAATTAAAGACAGTCTTTCTTCTCCCATTTTCATTATAATCCAAACTGTGTGAAAGTCAGAAGTGAAAAGTAAACCGACAGTTTTACAAAAGACAATCTATAAAATGTGTGAATAGCTTTATATGAATTATACTTGTTTGGAAATCGGTAAACAATAGTTTAAAGAGACAGAAAAATACAAGTCCGTTGTTAACAGTTCTTGAATATTGTAACTTTTAGTTTGAATTGACATGTAATTTTCATCTTTGTTTGGAGCCGTCATTCCCCCCCCCCCCCAATTATAGGGCTGTGCACGTCAGCCCTCAAGATTACCGCTGAGCCATCGAGGCAGTATACACATGAGAAGATATGAAAAAAAACAAACAGATACACGGCATTTTGACAGAGATCCACATGGAGACACCTCTCTCATGGCACTAAAAAAGTTAAAGAACTGAAAGGTTAAGTTATAAACCATTAATATAATGGCTGGAGACGGCTTAAATGGGTAATGAAGAAAAACTTTAAATCGAATTTGAAACCATTAATATGTCTTATTATAATTGAAATAATTACTACAGCAAAAAGTGCTACACCCCTCCCGAACCTGCAACTATAGAAATAACCGTGGTTTAATATGTACATATCTGGGAATGTACATAATAACATAATGTTACTCATAAATGACCAATCCAACTCTAAATACTGAACTATCACTCGACTGGTGTAGGCATAAGGTATATGTCGTGCGGCCGAAACAACCTGCAGGGAACACCACGGTAGTGATAGTAGCAGGAGTGATAGTTTAGCGGTTTTCAACTTTCTCTAGATCGGACTGTGATCATACAAACTAACGAATATTTCCAGTGGATATGCTATACTGGACCCTTATTTCACATACCAAATTTCAAGGCAACCCATTGAGACATACACGAGATATAAAACATCCAATTTTGATTGAATTTCTTCCATTTTTACTTTGCACCGAAAGTACGTAAACTTTATTTGATAGAAAAACATACTTAACTTTTATGGATTTTTTTTCAAATTTAGTACATTGATAGATCTTTTCAACCTACAATTAGAAACCTCATTTGGTAAATATAAGCCACATGTGCAAAGTAATTCAACAAAAACGGCTCAAATTTGACCAAAAGTTTTGTGCACACCTACGCAAAAAGTAACGTGAGCTATCGATCTGAAATTTTTTATTTCAGCTTCAATTAAGAGCAAAGGTGGACAGTTTCTAGTTTTTTGTCATTCAGATTAAAGACAGCTGATTTACAGCAGCAAACCTATGGGGTGAAAGTACATGCACGTACACAAGTATTGATTAGGCTAAGCAAACTAGATTAGCAGTTTAGCTTAAATTTTCAAAAGAATTATACTGGTGGACGGTTGTTATTCATTTCCAACTTTTAACCACAGATTTGCTAAATTTTATGAAATTCTCTAAATTACAGAGCGTTTAGCATCACGTGATATTAGCTTAAGCAATTAGCATAAATAATGATGCTTAATACTGCTGTAATCAGTGCATGTGGGTAATGACAAGAAACTGTTAATCTAGATTCCATGACGTTACTATAAAGGAAGTTATTAATACTGTTTTAGAGAGGAAAACTACCACCATATATTTTAAAGAACCTGTTTGATTCTGTAAAGTATAGTTCTGTTAGGGTTGCAATCCTAACACTAATATTGGTTACTATCGAGTGTCGCTTTCTTACTTGCTGTGGTTTGTTGGTGTGTATTGACAAAAGTCATGAGATCTAATCAAAAACACTTTAGGCATGAAAGAAAGGTGCGACCAAAAAAGGATTGAGCGTGCGACTTAAAGGATGTTGTATTTTGTCTTACCCACCATCATGCCCCAAGTTGAACAAAAAACGTGGCCTGGCTAACTAATGAATGAATATTTACTGTAAAATTCTTATCAATGCAATAAGTGTAGCTGCCAGTTTGGTCGCCAATTTGGATTTCATTCCTTTAAGTCGCACGCTCAATCCTTTATTGGCCGCTCCTTTTTTCCACACCCAGAGTGCTTTTGATTATATTATTATATGCCATAATTGGAACAGTAGGATTACACGTAACTGATTCACACAGTTTAAATATTTTATATGGCTTCCCACGCTTCTGGTACCTCAGGAATACATCGTTACTTGGATGTTGGCTCTCGAAACATCTTACATCTAGCTCTCTTTAGCTTTAAATGATTTTATTAGGGCCGTAAAATTAGAAATATGAAATAGAAAACGATAAACTCGTTTTAGATAGAAGATACATTTTCTTCTAGAGTCAGTTGCCTTTCTGAATATACAATCAGTTATATGGTTTCTTATTGAAACAGCTGCCTATTAGGATATCCAATTAGTTATACAGTTTCTAACAGAACCAGCTGCTTATCGGGATTTTCAATCAGTTATACAGTTTCTAACAGGACCAGCTGCTTATCTGGATTTTCAATCAGTTATACAGTTTCTAACAGAACCAGCTGCTTATCGGGATTTTCAATCAGTTATACAGTTTCTAACAGGACCAGCTGCTTATCTGGATTTTCAATCAGTTGTACATAGTTTATAGAAGTACACTGAACTCTTTAGTACTTTTAGTCTTATTCGTTGGTCTTGCCTTGTGGCATTTAATTCGTTGTCCGCGCAAGACTCAGCACTCTTCTTTTAATATTCATGAGTACATACACGTAACGCTGTTCATTAGATAAATACATCTTATGGGAATATTAGGTCCAATTTTTCATTTATGCATAACGACCTTCACCAAAGAGTGTAAAACGTTTTAGGTGATTCGTTTTATTCCTTGAGGTATGTTGGCCATAATAAATGTCTGTAATGTAATCAATAGTTTGTAAGCTATTTATATATATATGTAATCTTTAAAATTTGTCAAGCACAAAAAACAAAATAATTCAATATTAACTTCCTATTGGGTTAACAGTTGCTAGTTGAAAAATAATTTATCTCAAGCTCTACAAGGAAAACGAAAAATAATGCTAACATTTTTTAACAGTTAATTGTTTTTATACATATTTCAAATATTGATAGTTATCTTTGAAAATCAAACTATTATTTAGAATAGTGTTGTCCAATTCGCTATATTTGTATCGTCTGTCCATCAATCACGGGTTTCCTTGATTCATGTCTATTATGATATAGTTATACAACCTATTGTTTTAATCTTATACTTGTTTGAATGTATAAAATGCCTAATAAGTAGTTTAACATACTTCAATAGTCTTATTCTTTGTTTCCAGGGTGGGATTATTAAGAATACTAGCGAAAAGGTCATCGTAAGGAAATGATATCAACTCTCATCGCCTCTCAAACGGGGGCGCTTTTGTTTGCTGTAAACGTTATAAATATCATCCAGACTTCGATTGCCAAGTCATCAGTCTCGGACCTCATTTTGCCTGACATTGATATTGGAAATCCAACAACGATGCTGAAAGAAAATAATGATCTATGTTCAGCAGAATGGTGTGAAATTAGAAACTCGTCAGTAAGTGACCCCTTGCGTCTGCGAGATGATTTATGGATAGTACCACTTGTTATTCTGTCTTCTTTAAATATCATTGTTATAGCTTGTTTCGAAGCATATGTGCTATACAAAGCGCATGGAACGACACCAAGTCGAAGACACTTGTTTCTTGGGCAGATATTGCTTCTAGGTTTATTTCTGTGTTCAGTCACAGGCTTTGCTTTTGTACCAACAGCCCACACAATTACCTGCACTGTGATTACTATATTGCTGGGACTAGCTTACACTTTGGTGTTTGCAACTTTACTGGTGAAACTTATATTTCTTCTCAGTCTTCAATCGGGTGTTTATCTTCCAGCCTTTTACCAAGGACTATTGCTCTTCTTTATTGTTACTGTGCAAGTGGTTATTAATGTGCAATGGGTCGTTCATCGTCTTCCAGGAGTTGTTATAAGTCGAACCGATTCGCTCACTTGTGACATTAGTGTTGTTAAAATGTTGTTGACTCTTATTTATCCCATGTTTTTAATTTTCTGCGTTACGATTTTGTCATTTAAAAGCAGAGGAAACCGCGAGAATCACAGAGAAGCCATATTTATTGCAATTGCAATTGGTTTTACAATTCCCGTTTGGATTATCTGGATACTAGTTGCCATAGCGACGGAACCATATTATCATGATGCTTCGATTGGATTCGGGATCATCTTGAATGCCACCATAATTTTCCTGGTAATGTTCCTGCCAAAAGGGCGTCAGTTGGCAGCCATGGGACGAGATGGTCTTTACCCAGAAGACCGAGATGCATTATCTTCACAGAGTCCTTCAGTTTGTACACCTTCATTCCTTCATATTAAACCAACAACAATCCCATTAAACAAAAATAGCATGCTCTTCCAACCAACTACCATCACCAAGCCAACAACTCCAGGTAGGTGTTATAAACTAGTGGCCTTCTATAGGCTAGGTTTCAGATATTACCTAGTACCTATTTTTAAACACTGAACTTGATCTGACCGAAAAATTTTGAATATTTTCTTTAATCCATTACAGTTTTTAATAGGGTGAATGTATGAAATGTAAAGAAAACCTTTTAAATTAACATCCCCGAATTATTATACTACCTGACATACACGTAATAAATATGTCGTAAGATAAACCATAGAACGTCGTTACTTTTTGAGGGAAAAAGGTTTATATAGACTCCAATGGGAATCAACAATTTTTGGTGCTTAATGAACTGCAACATACTTACATATTATGTATATTTAAACATTATTCCATAAAAAAAGATATTTGTAACTAAAGAAGAAACTTCAGTAAGGTAGACTTTTCTGTAGGGGTGAATTGGATATCACTTACGTCATACCAAGGTCAGGGGTGGTGGTGAGGGGGGGGGGTCAACTAACTCAAGTTTGAAAAAATTATGAAATCGCAATACAAATACCTTATGATTTTCCAATGACATAGAAAAATAATTTTACATATCTATTATTTTTTCTTTCTTTTTGAAAATCCAAGGGGGTTCAAGTGACTCCCTTGTCCCTTCCTGCGGGCGCCCATGCGTCATACTATAGCTTTTGCGAATCTCGGTGTACTAGGCCTGACTTAAAAGTTATATTTGCCCAAACAAAAATCGGTTATTTTGTGCCATAGAGATTTTAAGATTTAAAAAGCAATATAAAAATAATGTAATTTCCGGAATTATATCTCTTAAATTGTACGTGACTCGAAGAATAAGGCAAACTCTTATTACCCATCTATGTGAAAAATTCGGCCGATGGGCCAGCGTAAGGTTTTGTGGCATGTTTTGTTGCTGTTTTTTCCTTTCAGCATCCATGTTATTATTAATTGTTAACATTCTAAACCTTCAGTGGGAACATCACTCGGGATTTTTTGTCTAACTTACTAAAAACACACGCGGACGAAACAGAAGCCCGGTTTGTTTTGAATATCGCGCAAAGCTATGTGAGGACTATCTGCGCTAGCTGTCTTTAATTTATCAGTGAAAGACTAGACGGTAGGCACCACCCCCGCCAACTTTTGGGCTACTTTTTACCAACGAATAGGGGGGTTGACCGTCTCGTTATAACGTCCCCACGGCTGAAAGGGCGAGCATGTTTGGTGGGATTCGAACTCGCGACCCTCATATTATCGTGCAGAAAAATAGATACGTAAATTTTGTAAATGCTACATTTTTCACTATTTCAAATAATATTATTGTTCTGTAATCATGTTTTGTCATGAAGACTGGGAATAACCAATGATTTCAAACTATTTACGAACGCACCATCTTTAACGTGAACAACCCTTTGATAGTAATGTATATTTATTATATCAATTAAAAAGGCCAACATTCGCGGGCGAATGCAACATGTCTCCGCCACGCAATCCCAACATGTTCAATTTTGACAACATAAAAATCGTGAAAAATAAAGAAAACTTGAAAACTGTCTATATCACTGCATGGGTCATGCAAGAAGGTATTTTTGTACCAAATCCCATGTAAGTTGTTTGACGAAAACCACAAATTGTACTTTCCTCCCCGAAACATTGAGCAAAATAAAAAAATTCCAAAATTGCCTATATCTCTGTTTCGGACCTACAAAGAGCATCTTTGTACCAAACTTCAAGTAAATTGGTCGAAACAAGGCTACGTCATTGGCCAAGACCCCTAATATTATGAATTTATTTAACCTTTTGATCCTTCCTAAAATGACCAAAAATAAGCATATCCCATATTTTTGTATGTATACATATGAGACCTGTAAAAAAAACATTTTTGTTCCAGATCCCATGTAAATTGACCGTAATACGGCGAAGTAATTAAAAAAATACTAAAACTTTGCTTTTTGACCCCATAATTACTAAAAATGGCCAAGTCCACCATTTTTGTTTGTCAATCTGTGGGACCTATAGAAAACTATCTTTGTACCATATCCCGTGTTAATTGGTCAAAATATGGCTGAGTAATTGACTCCAAACCCCAAAATTATGCTTTTTTGTGAGCTCAAAATGGACAAATCCATTTTTTTTGTAAGTGAATGTGTTGAGGACATGAAAAATATATATTTATGACATTTTAAATGTTGATTGCTCTAAATATGACCGCACGGGAGCCCAAAGTATACATTTTTGGGTTGGTTGACTTTTGACCCTATATAATCTATAAAAGGCGTATCGAACCAAAGTATAACACAACCAAGTTTCAAGACAATCTATCGAGAAATAAAGGAACAGCGGTCGGTTGAAAAGTGTTAGAAAGAAGAAGAAACAACATAAAAACACTGTGTCTGTCGTGGAGTCGAAATCCGTCGCGGAACATGTTCACCTCTTCAGTCGTAAAGGCGTTATAATGTGACGACCAATTTTACTATTCGTTGGCAAAGAGTATTCCAAGAGCTAGCGGTGGGTGTTGTTCCTTTAAAATTAGGGACAGCTAGCACAGATAACTGTCGAATAGCTTTGTGCAAAATTTAACAAATAGACTGTTCATAATTGACAATGTCATTACTCGTAACAAATATTTAAGAAAATTAATATTATGATAAATAATACTTTTCTCTTTCTCTCTTGTTTTGATAAATAGCACCGAACTGGACTACTTTCGCCCATTGCCCTCTATATATTATGCGTTCGAGACTAGCCTGCATTCTAATATTATACAGTATGTCAGTATCCGTTATTTTAGAAATACGAGAAAAGCCCATATACCGTCCTCTAAGTCTCTTATTTTTCGAACTTGATGTTGTTTTGCGCTAAAATCAACAAAGGAACAACGATTTAATTTATAAGCTCTTAAGTTTTAATTCTAATTCATTACATTCGCAGGTGCTTCACGCATAGCATAATGTTACTTTATTACAGTTCAGTTCTTATTTCATTTGATCAAATGTATATTTGCTGGTGCAGTTATATAATAATTTTGTACTATATGCTGTCGTTTGTTTTGTTTGTTTGTTTGGAATTAAGCACAAAGCTACACAATGGGCTATCTGTGCTCTGCCCACCGGTTTCTAGCGTTGTAAGTCCACAGACATACCGCTGTGCCACTGGGGGGCTGTCTTTTGTTTTTACATTATTGTTATTTTCGGCCATGGTAAACGAAGCGGAAAATAGTGCTACTGGCATCCTTTTATGCTTATTTAATTCCAATTATCTCTACTCCTTGCCCAAGCTATTGTTAATCATTAGGCATAAAATTAATGAAATATTTGTATTCTGAGTTTACAATATAATACCAAAGCAGCAAGCAATTTTAAAAATATTTACCTAAACTACTTATCCATCCACTCTCTTTGTTGATCGCCTCTTTTTCAAACTTCAAATATGATACGTGAATATTTTATGCTGCTTTCACTTGAATGACTGCGAGTTCACTATATTTGATTTTAATCTATGTTTTGATATATATTTATCTACATAATATACTTAATTAAATACTAATTCTAAAGAAAAGTCAAATAATATCTTTCAACTAATATATAACAAATGAAATATATGTTAAAGTATCATAAAAAGGGCAGTTTGGAACTCTTCAATACTTTGCCCACTAGGAGTCTTGCACTGAAGTAAAATATTTGATAGTTCTGTCGATTATGACACAAGACTCGGAATTTTGGTGAAGAACGTGAAATATATTTGTTTGTGGTCTTGTTTGCAGACAGAAATATTGCATGATAGTTTTTATTTCAAGTCGTTTAACCGTCACAGGGGTAGATCAATGAATATATAAGGTGAAAAACGTACAATGAAAAATAAACCTATTTTTTAATCTAAAATTTACAAAATGAAACTATTCTTTAGCCACTGACTGGTTTAAACAAATCATTTTCGCTTTCTAGAATGTTGGTTGTAAATTATTGAGAATGCTCGTTTTAAAGGCAGTTTCAGACGTCATCAAAATCTCCATGGAACAAACAGAATGTTTTGGAATAGTGATGTGCGCATACAGTTGCACTCACTGACGATTATGCCTTGAAAAATTTTAGGAACAACATGTAAGTGTTGTTTATATGTATTTTTTATTATTGTTACCTTGTGAAAAACTCGATGGTTTATAATACACTAGAGTAAAAAGTCTGGAGCTAATAAAACAGCCATTAGAATTTTTAAACATATTGCATATTGTTGAAGGTAACACATGTATAATGTATTTAATTATTTTCAGAGCGAGTTTTGTATCCACCACCCCCTCCAGGAAGGATATGGAGGTATAATTATCCAGTATTTCCACATTCAGCACAACTGTCACCAGAGGACACTTACTTTTATCAAGGAGAAAGAACCAAACATAGATATGATGCCTTTGGAAGCAAAGCATCATTTAACCCTAATGTAACGTTTTTCAGAGCGCCTCTGTATTGAAATGGCAGGAATGGTATACTAGACACTTATCTTCAGTAGAACGTTTTGAGAAAATATACATCACTTTTCTCATTCAAGCCTATTTTGCTAATTTTTTACAATGTGTAATCTAAAAATATGAAATTCATATACATATATTATTCAGATTAAGACTGCCAGTAATTAGACGTTTTTAAAATGTTAATTGTATTATTAAGATTTAAGAACGAAATAACTTAGCATCCTGAGAGTTAAAATTAAATCTTAACAATTTAGTTGTTCATCCCAAATTGTACGTTTTTCAAACAATATTAGGTACAATTAGCATGGGGTGGCCGATGAAGTAACGTTGACAAAAGGAACATTTACTGCTTCTCATAATGTCATCAGTTAAACTGTGCCTAAAATAGCGGAATGTAAACGATATTAGAATTTCGTTAAGCTTTTACATCGCTTTAGTAATCAAATTTCAAGTAACATCTAGTGAACGGTTTTTCCTCAGTGTAAACTCTGTGGTTTATGATTTTGATGTTAGTATAGTTGTACGAAACAATTATTAAACTACCAACTGAAATGTTCGAGTCCATTTTGTAATATGAAAACGAACTTTATATTAAGAAAATTATTCCAAATGTTACATCTATTTCGAAAGACGACCATTCTTCGGTGGCTTTATCCAGTGAGAATAATAATAATAATAAAAACAAATAAGACGTAGCCAAAGATATTTGATAAAATATAGTTGTTCAACCGTGTGATTTCCACAGTAAAATCATGCTTTTACTTGATAATCACCAGATAAGTTCCAATTAAAATGATGAAAGAGAGAGACTTGTTACAAGAACATAACCTGTATGTAATTTAAAGGTAAAAACTCCTTTACTATCAGCCTAAGAGTGGTAACGAAAACATGCCAACATTATCACAGTATAACATTATTCCAGAATGTTTTGTATATATCTTTAACTAATAAAAAACGCATGCATATAAGTAGTGTAAAAATGTTCATTTTTGTAACCACACATAGTAGCAGTACTTTATCAAATTTCAAATAGTTTTATATTGATATCTTGGATGTCGTTAATCATCATGACTTAAAAAGAGTTTCTGAGGGCTATTACTTCCTATTCACCATTATTAAAACTGTTCATAGAGTCTTTTCCTTATTTGCTGATGTACACGTTTTTAGAGAAAACTATATAAAATTCCTATAACTAGATTTACTGTTTCTTATATTTTTCGCATCAGCCTTTTATAGTAAATATGTTAAGTCAGTAGTCAACTCTCAGTAAGATCAGCTCCTCTGGTGGTGTATAATGATCCTACATAACTATATGGTTGGATAAGAGGACATTAATTTTCACTGCTATACGAGTCTTATGATATTTATGAAGGCTGATAATGTTTTAGATTTAAAACATATTTTACCAGAAGTATTTTAATATAATTCATTATTTTGATTAAGTGACGTTCCCATGGTATTGACTATATGTACCCTATTCTGTTAGTTGTGGTCTTGAACTAAATCCGTCAATTAGATTATCATGTAGATTATTCAACGTATATCACATATAAACAGCGTGGTCACAAGTAAATAGACGCCACCTTTTCAGAAAAAATGAAAATTTTCAGTCATATTCACATGA